AAAAGCTTCTCTAATAAGTAAGCTTTATATGTCCTTTAGGGCTACCCCGGCCAAGCACTGGGGATCTTTTGCTTATGCTTCGTAATCCTTGCCCCTCAGAGTCCAAGCAGCATAAAGATAGTTTCTTCTTGTCAGGTATTTTTATTCCCTTCCCCCAGAGTTCAAGCTGATGGGACGAGTCCACCTGCACGTCTCCTCTTCATTGGTGTGGAGGGGTGCAATCAACAAAGTCTTTTCTCCTCTGATATTCTACAATGGTTTGTCTGGGGTCTATGGGTCTTCTTTTGTTGGGCAGGAGGATACACCTGTGGCAAACCAGTATTTCATATTTGTTAACGCTTCTCTCCTGTGGTTTATAGTTTGAGTGAACACTTAAATATTACCATATAACGTGATACAGATACGATAAGTGAGATTAATGCACGCAGCAACTTATAAAGCATTTCATAAAGTCCAAAACACTAAATAAATTTTTATAAACCCAATACCTAGTTTAACAATACTAACACACAGGTGAGCCAGACTGGTTTCCAGCTATGCATTTGTCAGTGGTCATTTGAGGCCTAGGGGCCTTGGCATGAGCTGGCACCTGGTCTGCCAGCATCACAGTACCCCAAGACAGATATTCTCATGGCCATTACATCAGCATGGACAGTCAGCAAGTTCCAAGTTTTTATGTCCGGATTGTTTTACACATCCTTCTAAAGGGACAAGATGGTGGTGAAACTGTACCCCCAAGTCATCCCTAAGGTGGAGTTGGAATTTTACCTGAACCAATCCATTACCTTATCAGTCATCTTCTTGAAACTGCACTCAATGCCAGGAGAAAAGAAGCTCCATATTCTATATGTCTCCAGAGCCTTTCTATATTACCTCAGCAGGACTAAATGTTTTGGGTTCTCTCCCCACCTCTTCTCGTCTATATCTGGTGCCTTGAAAGGTTGTCTTGTCACAGAGAATCCTTGAAGTGGCTCATGCAGTGTATTTCCACCTAATATCAGCTGGCTAGCGAGCCTCTCCCTCCGAATGTCAAGGCACTTTCCACCAGGGCACAGGCACCATCTTCCACCCACTTCAGAAACATGCTGATCTCGCAAATCTACAAGGCAGCAATGCAGCATCACCTGCTAACTTTTGTTAAGCATATGTTGTGACAAACTGGGACTGTTCTTAATGTGGTCTTTGAATGCTGAGTGGGGAGTGTTGGCTGGGAAGGCAGGGGAGTGTGGCTAGGATGGTCTGCATTGGGGGATGGGAGACTGGCCTTGAGGGAGAATACCTGAGCATGTAACATGAGAACCCAGGAAGGGGTTAGAGGTCAGGTGACACCTTTGCCCGGGAAACTGAACAAAGGCTGGGGGAGGAGACGCTGGGGAGAGAGAGAGTTTCAGGAACTGGCTGGTAATGGAGGGATCCCAGACGGGCTCTGCCCCCCGCCTCCCCCAATGGGGCTGTGGTGCCCCTGGGCCCTCAAGATGGACCTAACTGCGGGGGGGGGTCCTGTTGTCTGTGCCTGCAAGACCTGTCTTGGACTGTGTTCCTGTCGTTTGAATAAAACTTCATTATGGGCTGCCATGTCATCCTTCTAAAGCTTACGAAGACTTCTATTGAACTGCTATGGGACTACTCAATATGCCTGTCAGGC